CTTTTATATGTTTGTGCTGTTACTAGAATATTTTTATTAAAAAATTAACAGTATTCATTTATTATTTTTTTACTGTTTAAAAAAATAAAATAATTAGTGCATGGAGAAGAAGTGCATGTTGGGTATTAAGTGGTTCGTTCAAGATGGCGTTGTCCTCTTCGTCGGGACGCGTTTGGACTCTTTGCAAACAKTTTCAGAAAGTCGTCAGGATATCTTCGGTGGTAAATGCTCAGCATCGTGCTGTCAGTTTGACAAGAGGCCAGAACAAACATTTCAGGTACGAATGTGTCCCGGTGTCCGTGGCTTTTCGTTGAAATAAGCAAGAAGACCGTCGTGTTCACTGTTATCGCCGTGCTTGTTGCTTATCGTAACCCAAAAATATTGTAATGATTATAAATCTATGTCRTATGTTATCATGATTGTTTTAAATCTCCATGTCACTGATTCTATTATTTGTACTGATACTTGTGGCATGAAGTCACCCGGACAGTGATGGCCGTTACTCAAGTGTATCTTAGTAAAGTTATCATCAGTGTGCTGGTCACATTCACTGAGTCTTATGTTCTTTCTACAGTGATCTATCCGMAGTGGTCGCTCCCATTAGTTTTGTGGGTCAGTATCGAGCTGTGCACACAACAGCCAGCATCAGAGGACTGGAAGAGTTCTTTGACTTCCCTGAGAATTGGGGAGAGTCCACTGTGAAGTCAGGTAAAAAATCTGACACTTTTACGGCAACGTGTTTTAGTATTTTGGCAAAAATAATTTATGCTCAATCTGTATCTGGATTTGCACCACCTCAGACTGCTCTTAAGGTGAATACGAAGGTTTCGAGCCAGACTTTAGAAATTTAAAAACTTTGTCCAGGCCTGTTGTTGCATTGCGCCCCCCACCCACCCAAACACATGTTGTCATCTAATAAATTTGTCATTGTTTATATCGTCATAGGAGGACCGTGGACTTGCAAACTGCTGAGAGCAAAGAGCAACGAGGAATTGCACAAACTCTGGTGCGCAACAAGAAGATTGTGGATAAAAGGTGCTTCTCTGTTGGAAACATAAAGTACTGCTTATAGCACTTTGTTTTTTTTCTGCATCAGGTATGTGCTGCTGAAAGAAAGGAACATGCTGTACACTATTGAGCAGGAGGCAAAAAGGCAAAAGGTTCCGATGCCGAGCCCTGAAAGGGTGAAGAAGGTTGGTGGGATGTTGAACTGACCAGTTCACCTCTCTGAACACAAAATTAATTTTGAATGCTCGTTGAGTAGGAACTCTTAATTAAAATGACTGTGTTCACAGATTGAGCGGTCGTTGGACAGAGTGGACAGAGTGGTGACTGAAAGGGAGACTGCGCTCCGTCTGCTGCAGACAGGGCAGCCGAAGGGCCGACCAGGAGCTTGGAGGGATAATATATTTGGATACACCATCTGGTGAGGATGAATTCCCAATGTATATCATGTAAAACAAAGGGCAAATGATAAACTTTTAATTAGGGATGCACCGATACCAGATTTTTGAAAACCGAGTACAAGTACTTACATTAAAGTACTTGCCGATACCAAGTACCGATACAAGTACTAATTAATATCCTTAAAAATCCTTATAATTAACTTAAACTGCTTATTTTCATTAGGCACTTCAAACATAAATAAACAAAGTACATTACTATTGGTTTAAAACCATTTTACTGTCATATAACCATACTATGACAGCATGTATGAAAAAAAAAATAAATAAACCTAATTCACCTAAAAGAGACTTCCAGTTGATTTATTTTTTATTCCATCTTCATCGTAGATGTAAAAATTTTAATGATCCGCTCAAGTTGTCTAAAATGTGTTACAGGGCCCTCACTGAATATTAGAGCATTGTACCATCAACTATATAAATAAACTAAACTAAATAAACGTTGTAGTATGTTAAAATAATTGCAATTAAGTAATAAATGTTTAATTTGTAACATGTTGTAGCTTGGTCATAATGATTTTTCCTCCATCAGATTACTTGGCAAATAAACGTTTATAAATATAAAAAATATTTTTAGGCAAATCAAGGCTTATATTATTATTTTTAATCATTTTTATTTATTTAATTTACCTTGGATCCAGTACAGTTTAGATGC